CAGCAGGAGTGTTGGCCCATGTGGGCGTTTTTACTTACCAGTTGCAAAATCCCAGAGCAGCAATGCTAAGTCAGATGAAACTTTAAATGAAAATTAAAACAAATCCCCTTTGGGATGAGATGGAAATGTCAGCCCAAGGAGGAATCTGTTCTCAGTAAGTTGCGAGCAACCAAAGGAGATACAAGTTGGAATCCAGCCTTGGCTGCACCACACACCATCTGTCAGCCTTGCAGAGTAAAATAAAGGAAAAGCAGAGTATGTGCAAGTATCCTCTCCCTCGCTGGAGAGCCCAGGGGCCGGAGAAGTGGCTTGTCTTCCCCGATACATTTCTTGAAAGGAAAATGACAGATTCATTTCCCCACAGTGGTGATGCTGTGCATTGCTCTCCCATCCTACTCGCTTCTTCCCTTGGCAAGCAGGGGCACAGACTGCCAGGCTGGGACCTGAGTGAGAAGGCTCTGTTCCCATGGTTAGAGATACAAGTTTAGCAAATTGCAGGAGAAGAACAAGAGAGAGCAGGGGGATGCTGAAGTCTCCCCATCGGGCACCCTGCTGGCAAAATGCAGGGGCTTGCTTCTGCCCTTATGGGCGCCTGAGCACTGCTGGTACTGAGCACTCTCAGTCAGGCTAAAGCTCTTCTCTCTCTTCTCCCCCCTGCCCTTGTACATTTTTGTAACCTTGCAAAAGTTTCAGACAACGTCATCTTTAACCTACTGGAGGCAGGACCCGGGAGCCACGTGAGGGATGGCGAGGAGGACCACGCTGGGTCAGCACACCAGCCCCATGGCCAATGAGCAGGGAGTTGGACTACACTCCCCTACGTGCCACCCCGAAAGGGGTGCCGGAGTGTCTCCCCCTTGGCATTGCATTTTGAAAGATGTGTCTGGCGAGACAGCTGGCTGGCTTTGGCAGGCACTGCCCTCAGTGTGATCATTAATTAAAGCACAGTTGAGAAAAGCATAGCATAAGCTTAGTCTGCAGCCGGATCTGCAGCTCACTAGCAGAGCAGGGCATCCTGCTCTATTCCATACCTCTTTTTTTTTTCTGAAGGAGTTGGTGGCTTACACTGTGTACTGCAAATAAGAGCGCGGGGTGAAGAGGAATGAATCCTTGTGCTAATCAGTGAGAAAGGGCCCTGTCTGAGAGATAAGGCAACCCAGGAACAGAACAGCAGGTCATATCACTGCAGTAGAAAGGATAAGCAAGGCAAGACATAATAGCTAAAGGCTATTTTATACAAGCCTCCTCCTGCTGCCCCCGTGGCACCAAAGACTAAAAGAACCACTCTGCAAAAGAGAAGAGTGAGAAGGAGAAACAGGTGCCCTGCCTATTGCAGTCAGAGCTGCAGCTGCTGCGTATCTCCCCCTATTTCTATGCCTCTAAGCTGAGCTCTTCCAGGTACCAACACTGAAGCTGCACATATTGTGTTCCTAAAGACACACAGCTGCTTCCTGCTGTCACCTTTCCCACTGCTGCCCATTTAGGGAGATGCAAGATGACCAGAACACACCAACCTTCCTGCAGCTGTAGCTCTCACCCGCCTGCCTGCCACTGGGGTACCTGCACCCCACGCTCACTGCCACTGTGGAAAAGTAGGCAAATAATGTGCCACAAAAAGGACCTGTTGATAAGTGTTGGTGGGACAGGCTTACTAAAGTCACCTTCAAGCCCCTGGATGGTTTGATGCCACGTTGCTCCTTCCTCAGAGCAAGGAAGTAACAGGACAAGAGGACCTCCACTGCATGTAAAGTTATTGCTGTAGCCCAATTATTGATTGTTGAAACAGGCAGGGAAGAGTAATTTTTTTATCCCCAAACTGGAGTTTCATTAAAAATGGCTGGTTTTCAGAAATAGATTTTAAGAAGCATTTCATCTTTGAACAAACTTAAAGCAGGAGAAAATAATTCCTTTGTTGTTGTTGTTGTTGTTTCTTTGAACTTACTAGCATAGAAATCACATGGAAGGTCATGGAAGCTCTTTGGCTTTATTGTTACCATTTTGCTTCTGGGGAGAAAGAGAAAATTCGAATATTTAAAGGAGGGAAAAAAAAAAAAGAAAAAAACTCCCCCCAACCATGACTTCTTACTTACTTGTATTTCCTAGTCAGAAGGAGACCAGAACATGTTTTTTTTCGCTTGTTTCTAAGCAGATGCTTTTGTTGGAAGACCTCTCACCCTCAGCTATCAGATCTTTTATATTAATAGAATTAAAGCAGCACAAAAATGTTCAGTGTCGTGTTGTGTCACACCCCGCCTCTCCCCTCCTCTCTGTGTTTCAAGCTCTCTTTGGAGAATTGCTGTGGAAATGACATTTTGGGGTTGGTCCTCCCCTTGCTTGCTATTGTATGAGGACAGTGAATCTGCTCGGGGTTTAGCACAGCTGCACCACACAAACCACTGCTGCCCTCATTGTGTTGGAGAAACTTGTGGGCTTGTTTGGGGTTTAACCTTCTGCGTGGTCTGTGGGCGCAAGCACCAGCCCTAGTTATGCAACTCCTATCTCCATTCCTCCAGGCTTTCCCCTGCTCCTTATTAGAAACAAGGTGTTTTAGCTCTCATCATATCACCTTCTACCCACTTTGGAGTCCATGAACACTAAAAATCAGGCTGCGTTTTACAGACGGAGTTGTGCTTTCCCCTGTAGGATTATGGATTTTGCAGAGGAAGAGGAACGCAAGTCCAGTTAATGATTGCACTGAAGCACCTTGAGTTCATGCCATGGAGCTGCTTCTCCATCTGATCATGATTATGTGCAAAGGACAATAAGATTTTAAACGCTGGAAAATATGCCGAGTCTCATCTATTTCAGGTTATTTTGCATCTCAATTTACAACAGACTTAGGCAATTTGCTCAACATCTGAGGAACCAGAATTATCCCCTTCCACTGCGTTTCATCACTTGAAAGTTTTCTTTCAGTGTTTTGATTTTAATCTTCCTTTTTTTTCTTTTCTTTTTTAAGTGGAGACTTTGCATAACTCTTTCCTAAGTACATATCTCTATGTCTTAAAATGTGGCATGAGCACGAACAAAAGTTATGCAAATAAGCATTTCAGTGAAACAAATTACATTTAATTCTGAGTAGTTTGTTAATCTGCCTCCTGCCCTTGCTGTTGATGGGTTTCACAATCACTATAGGGAATTGACTGAAAGTCTGACTATAGTCTGTGGATTTGCAGATGTTAGTGGGGGCCAGTAGTCCATGCAGGGCTGGTGAGCCAAGCATTGCTACTGCTCCTTTCTATCTGCTTAATCTGATTCTATAAGCAGTTAAAACTACACCACTTCTTTTCCCACAGTCATACTGCAATGCAAGCTATTTTTTCTGCAGTAGCCATGGGTGTAATTGTGCAAACCAGGAGACTTCATGTTCTGTTTCGCTCTGATGGGGTTGGTAGCATCACCTGTTGATTAAGGTGGCCTGACAGTCTCCCTTACAGCAGCTTGCCTTAAAGTGTTTGTTCTTTTAGTTTGCCAGATGCTGCCATCAGGGAATGGAATTTTCTAGGAAGGATGTCTGACCCTAGATAGAGCCAGGCTGATTTCTAAGGGGGAAATTACGCTATCGAGTTTCAACCAAATTAGATCAAGACGAATGCATTGTTTAGTCCACACTGGGAAAAGAGAAAGACATGAGAAAATTCTTGCTATTGTTTTGACAAAAGCGTTTCAAACACCAGGTGTCAGAGGATATGCTTGGTACTTAGCAAGCTGCAGAACAAACCATGCTTTTCCTGTCTCACACCACCACTATCCTCTGGTGAGTGACATTGGTCTCTCCTTGTTCCCAGCCTTTTCACCTCCAGTCCTCTGGCTCTCACTACCCTCACCCTTTGTGTTAGCTCCCCCTCCCTGCCACCCGGTTGCCTCAGTGGAAAAGAAAGTCTCAGCATGAACAGTTTGTACCCTCATTAAGTTCTTCCAGTGCCTTTTGTGTAAAAATAGATATGAATTGATGGTGGAGGAACTTCTAGTAGTGTTTTGAGGGAGATGTATTCTCACTTACAGATGTTACTGGCCTTTTAGTGAAATCTGAAGTTGGAAAGTGACCCAGTTGTGCTACACTTCAGCTATTCTTATTGAATAGCCTCTCTAATATAAACCAGATATATTTTAGTTTCCAAAGGTGCCTAGTATGAGAAAGATCAATTACTCTCGAAGCGAATCAATCCCATTTGCTTCACGATGCAAAACCCAGGGAGTCCTCATTCCCTGTGCCATAAGCTTCTTTATGAAGTTGGCAACGAACTGCAGAAGGCAATGAAAACTGGTATTTTGTTAAATTAATATTCTTACATAACTGATCTTTCACCCGGTGGTCACCGACGCCAGCCTCACTGCAAACCGCGCTTCCGAGAGGAGGGCAGAGAGAGAATCAATTTTTCTCTCTCTCGGGAGCGCAGATGGAGCCCTCCAGAGCGAATCAAGTTATTCTCCAAACTCGTATCCCCTCGAGTGCTGCCAAAACAAGGTTTCGGCAAAGGCCCCTCACGGGCACGGCAACGAGGAGGCGGCGAGCAGCGGGTTACTGGTGCAAAGGCAGGAGGATGAGGAGGTGGAGGCCACACCACGGGCAGGGAGGGCCAAGGGGCAGCATCCCGGCGGTGGGGGCAGGGCTGGCCGGGTGGATGCGGGTGGGCTGTGCGGGGTCAGCCCGAGGTGGGGGCGAGTCGGGGCCGAGGGGTCCGTGCCGGTGTCTGCGCTGCCCCCCGGGATGGGGATCAGGCCGGGATGGGAATTGGGACCGGTCCGGCCCCCCAACCCTTGCCCCGCCCGTCCGGCCCCGCCCCGCCGCGATCTCCCAATGCCCGCGGGGGGCTCATTTGCATATTTGCATATTGTCGGGCACTTAAGGGGCCGGGCGGGGCGCGGTGCTGGAAGGGCTTGGCGGTGCCGAGTGTTCTGGGGACGCTCCTGCCGCCGGCCGTGCCCCACCACTGGTGTTTAGTTTTCGTCAGTTTTTAAAGCCCCAAAAGTTACTTTTTAATATTTCTCTTTTTTTTTATTTTTTTATTTAATTTTTTTTTTTTCGCCGAAACTTCTGCGCCGCGAAAGGAGGAGGGATGGGGAGGAAGGTGTTCCTGGCCGTTCTCTACCTCTGCCTGCGCTTGGTGCCGGCTCTCGGCGGTGAGTCCGGGGGCGGGGGATCTGTACCGAGACCGGGGGCTGCCGGGCCTGCCTGCCGCTTTTGGGGAAGGGGGAAACGCTGCCGGCATGGCGGGAAAAGGGAGTTTGCAACCTTTCCTTTGTAAAGCGCTCCCGGGGTGTTTGGGATACTGCGGGACCCGGGTGTCGTGAAGTGGCCTCAGAAGGCGCTGGAGAGTGATACTGAAGGGGGGTCCTGCATCCTGTTAGGAGAGATGTGGAGCCTCTTCCCCAGCCGGAGCTCAGGCACAGCCTGCCTGGCTGATGGCACGAGTTGTCATGGCTTGGGATTTGTCTTTTCCCCGCAAGCAAGGTGGCTTCCAAGCCTCCCTTGCTCCCGCAAGGGTTGGCACACCTGTAGCATCACGGTAAGGTCCCTTAGCCCTCCCCTCCGCTCTTCATGGGACTTCCATCCATTTCCTACGGTTCTTGCTCCTAGACAAGGCAAGGCTGAGTTCCTTTGGCGTCATGATAATCTGTCTGAGTCGTAGTTAAATGCTCGTAATGCAGCAGAATCGATTAGGGAAAAAGTGAGCAGAGAGGTGTCCTCTCGCCGTGTCTGTGGATTCACTTAGGGCTGTGCTTGCACTCTGCCTGTTGCACCTGCAACAGGAACCCCCCAGGCTACGGGGAGAGGAACATGTGGGCATGTTGACTGCTAGATGTTCACTTTTGCTCTCTTGGTTAATCACACCACGAGTGAAGCTTTTATGAGCGTTTGTTTTAGGAGACCATTACACCCCAAGCTTATGTTAGCAGTGCCCTGTCCCAGGCTACTTTCTTGCACTGATCTCCCACACACTGTGTCTATCTTTAAAAGACCATGGCCTTAGAAGAAAATGTGGTTGTAGCTCTTAGACCTGCTGTCTGATACTAAAATGGAGTGTATAACCTGCTGTTTCTTCTACTGTGGATGATTTTGTTATTGCTTTGTGACAAGGAAGCCGAAGGGAAGTATTTAAAAGTAAGAGCATGGGGTGCTAGGGCACAGCCAAAGAAATGTGTGTTTTTTCTTTCAATCAATCTTGTGCCATCAGAGACAATGAAAACTAGTTTTCATCACAGTATCCAAATTGTATACAGTAAAATAACTACCTTCCAAGAGTAAGCTTTCATCCCCACAGGAACTGACTTGTTACAGATGTACTAATAATATTCATTATTTCTCTGTAGGAACAGGTTATATGGAAGCAGATTGTGTGTTCATCCTAAAGTTATGCAAGCCTTCAGTCCCACACTATTTCTTGCACACCACAGTAGAAAGTGCTTTGAAACCATGGAAAACACATGATCCAGCCCTTCAGGAATCCGGAGTATTTAATAAACAACACACAAAAAAAATATTCTAGGTGAAGACAATGTTGGTGTTACAGGAAAAGATAAAAACATTACTAGGAATACATTCTGATCCCTGTTTTTATCAATGTAAATTTAAAGTCAGCATATTTACACTGTTCTGTGTTGTGAGCTAGTGAGTTTTGCTATGTCTGTGTTTGGGGTAGACCTACCAGGACAGCTGTGATGTGGCCTTCCCAGAAACAGTGCTTTTCTGAGAAGGCACAGAGGTGAGACTGTCAGGCATGAAAAGTGTTCTGGAGATTAGCATGACCATTAGTACTCCTCTCCTCTGTGCAGAAGTACTTGCATGCCAGGGCTTTCTCGTGTATCCTTTCCTCTTAACTACTACAATGTCTGACAATGGTTGCATTTTAATTGTCTTGGGCTAATTCCAGATATCCCTGGAGGGACTGATGGATGGCAAGAGCTCTGCTGGGTTGAGTTATGAGCATCCCAACTGCAGCTGAGCAAGGATTTGACAGGGAGTGCCTTGGAGAGAGGCACCCATGTGCACAGTGTGAGAGCAGGAGTTTGCCAGCTGCAGGACTTGAGCTGGGAGGTCCTTGCTCATTGTCTGAGGTTGTGCCCGGTAGCTTTTCAAAGGGGGTTGCTCTTTCCATTTGTGTCCACCTGTGAAGCGAAGCAGAACGTGCTCTCAGGGTTCTGCCACTAGGGAATACATAAATAAACTTGAAGTTGTAATTTTTTTTTTTACAGCAAGGTTAAACAGTAACCTGACTTGTGAGGTAGGTTCCCTGGGATTGCAACACACAGTAGTCTGCTTTCAGTTTAGAGTGTAGATCAAATTAAATGGTAACAACTTCTGTGATACACCCCCTTTATTACAGCTGACAGCGAGTGTCCTTCAGAACTCTTAGGAATTCAGTATGACTGACTGGTGGATGATCCTAATGCTGGCTGTCAGCTGAGGGTGGAGTTAATCCAGTAAACTATAGCTGGTGTTACATGCAGATGTTTGCTGCTGTGCATGCCTCTGTGGGCATGCAGTCTAGCAATACAATTTCAAGGATCTTTGTACCTACCTAATAGTATTTCCATTTCTGAGTACGTAATGCTAGGAAGTTGCTGTTTATCAAAGATTCCCTTTTTGAAAACGTAGCTTAGGTGCACTCATTCTGTCAAATGCATTGTTATATTTTGGCAAGCTGTGTCCGATGTGGGCAGTTTAACTTCTGGTTAATATTCCAGATGTTGTTACTTCCTCAAAACTCTCATTCTCCACCCAGCTGACCAGGGATAAACAGTTTTCACAATCAAAATAATTTGCCAGGTTGCCTTGGGCTTCCTGTGAAGTAAACTTGAAACTGAACTCTCCTGATTACTGTGTCAGAATGCTTAAAGTCAGTGGGGTGCTTTCAAAATTGGTAATTGTTAGGAGTTTCACAAGTTGCAAGTCAAAAGTGCAAGAAAGCTCGAACAGGAAAAATAGAACTATTGACTTTTCCCGGTTTCTAAGCTTTTTCTTTCCATACTCTTGAGTTCTGTGAGATTCTCAATACCTTGATGCTCAGGACAGCTTTTTTGCTATGAAAACTGAGACTGTTGAAGTGGTGGTGTAAGGAACACATCAGAAAAGTTTGTGGAGCATGGTAAAATGGTGAAGTTTGGCAGTGCAGCCTGTAGGTTGTTAGAAAAGCCAGCTTGCATCTGAAATTGGTCACTTAATCCTTTTCCAGTTCCCTTAGTAATGCCTTTGTGTAGGTCACCTTGTTAACTGTAACCACATAGCAGTGGACAGAAAATTTTCTTTTGCAGCAGGGGCTTGTATTTTTAACTGTGTGCCTGGAAGCTTTTGCAATATAGAACACATGCTGTTATAACTCTTCTGAACTAAGTCTGAGAAAGTGTGGTTTTTAGCAAAAGGATGGAATTGTTTTGTCTACATGTTTTTACCTCCAGGTATGTTTTTCTCCAAGGCCTTGCTTAGAAGTGGACTTGCATTCTTGTCTCAGGGTGTCTTCTTTATCTATGTTATGGAAAATGTGATGTGAATTCAGATATATTTCTATTCAGATATATTTCTGTTCACCTTTCAGAAACACACTGAAAACTCCCTTTTTTTTTTCTGCTTTAATTAACTTGAGTTAAAGCGTATTATCAACTAAACAGGGGTGACTGTGCATTGACTGTCTCTCCATTTCTCTGTGTAAAGAATGACACCCAACTGATTGACTGATTCAAAAAGACTCTTTGCTTTAAATCTATGAGGAGACTGTCTGTGGCAAAAATCTATGCACGACAGAGTTCAGTGCTGAATCATTTCTACAAATAGACCCAAGATACATTATGAGATAACAAAAGCAGAAGTGGTAAACGCTAGTTTTCTGAAGTGATATGCTTTGTAACTTCTCTGCTTCAGGTTTAAAATGTGGTTCATGTAGATGTTGGTTCGTGTGGTGAGTGTGTGCAGACTATGCATTCCTCTATATTTTATTTCTAAAACCTAATCTGCAGAAGGTGGGAGGTGAGGTGGTACCACAGCATATGTGCACCACAGTGTAAGGTGTAGACAAGTTATCTTAAGCTCTGAACCAGACAGAATTTGCAAAGCCAAACTCAGGCAAATTCTGAGGATAGCTCCTCAGCACACCATGAAGAAGTCTGTAACAAACCCCACCACACACACACTTTCCTTATCCAGAGGGTATCTTTCCTGCTGGGAACTGACCATATGTGGTCATTAGATAACATTATGCTTTCTGTGGGCATAAGATGATAACAGTAATTTCTTCTGACTTTCTAATTCCTCCTACAACATAGTTAAATGAGCAGAGTGGCCACCTGCCACTTCCCTAACTCATGGGCTGCTGCTTTGCAGCTGCTGCTTTCCTGGTGGTGACTACATCTCAGTGATTTTTGTGTCCTTAAATCCCTGCCAAAAGTTTTTAGTCTGAAACACGAATATTTATGAAGCAATTACCACATCTTCAGTGGTAGATGCCGCTGTGATGCAATCTTTCTAAGTCTGACACGCTTTTCTAAGTGTACCCTTAAGTTAGGTGCACTTCAAATTGTAAATTTCCTATAAGCCCGTTTTCCAAAGAGTTTTGGTCTGAACTTAGATGCAAATTCTAGCATGTGTTTGTAATTGAAAACACACTACAAGACAGGATTTCAATGTAATTTAGATTTTGGATGATTATCAGATGATAAGCTGATGATTATCAGAAGGGAAATGATATCTAAGTATGAAAGGAAGCACTATTAACTAGTGTGCAAGTGGACTATTCTTGTTCACCTTCCTGTGCTAGGTGGGAATATACATAACTGAAAGTCCTTGCATTGCCTGCCTTACAGTTGAAAGCTGTTCTTGTTCCTTTCATGGTTTTACTGATTCACTGCTGAGGGAAAAGTTATAGTTGGTATTTAACCAATCAGCCTTTGGGACTTCCCCTTTTCCGGCTAAAAAAGTAAATAATATAAATCTAAAGATTTATTTCAGAAAGGTTTGTTTTCCACACTCAACTGATGTAAAAAAAAAAAAAAAAAAAAAGAAATTTTGAAAGTGTGAAAGTATAGAAAAAGGGCAAACATTTGGTTAGTTTGGTAAATTTAGTTTTCAGTAGGTAGATGAAGTGTTATGTTTAACATTATATGAATACTTGTACTGATTTGGAGAAAGGTATTTTCCATAGACTTTATCCTTCCTTTAGGGGAGAAGAGGCAGGAAGGAATCCTCACTGTAATTATTCTGGATTAGCTAGCCGGCCTAGTCCAGTCAAGGTCAAAACCTAAAACTGAGCATTGCCTCTGTGCATTGAACAGTTCTTATTCCCCTGCATGTGCTTTGCTTTTGAGAGATGAGAAATCCTGATGAACTCAGGCCGTGTTAGGCCATTGATTACAGGTGACAAGTTTGTCTGGGACTTGTATGTAAGCATGTATTGCAAGGCTGTGTGCTGGTTTTAGACCTCTTGCTTTAGACCCTGATTTCTGTGACCCTCCAAGCACAGCAAGAACTTCCCAGACTTTATAGAGCTACCTGAGGGTTGGGTGAGTCCAGGCATAAGTTGTGCCCTGATGACTGGTAGCTCAAATGAGAAGATGAGAACCTGCTTCAGAAAAAAAAATGAACTATTAGCTGTTCATCACCCAAGTGATGCAGCACAACTTTATGGATAAATGTAAATCTACTAATTATCGTAGAAAACCTCATCTGCAATGGGAAAAAGAGGGGGAGTGAAAATCTGTTTTGCTTGCCTGTCATGTGGTCCTTATTTGTCCCTTTGCATTTCTTTTAGTGGCTTGGAGCCATTCATTATTGTGTCTTTGGGAGTTTGTGAAATCTTGGTGGTCATGATGCCAGGAAACACAGCTCTGGGTTGCTGAAACACAACTCAGGACAAAGTTGGCCTGAGTTCAACTGCACTTGAAAAACAGGCAATCCGTATTTTCTAAACTCAGGTTGCCAAATTGGGTCTTGGGTTTTGAAAAGTCCAGTGTTAATTAGAGGGTCTGTTGGATTTAGAGGTACTTAAGTATTGAATCAGACGTGCAAAGGGAAGACGTTAAGTTTTTTCCCCGGACAAAAGAAGTAGTGAGCATGAAGCCTAAAGTCACTTCTATGCCTTGGAGCAAAAGTAATAAGTTTTAAAGCTGAGAGCTGGAGGGAAGTGATCTTTGCAGGCCATCACATACTTTGTGGTGATCTTCACCTCCCTCCCCATCCTGGGATTCAAAATAGCTTCAGGTAGATGAAGATATTTTCTTGCAGCTTATTTTTCTGTAGCGAATCAGATGATCTGAAAATGTACTGCCTTCAAAGCACAGGCTTCTGTTTTGCTGGTTCAGTTCTCCTGATGGGTGTCTGATCTCCTCACCTGCTGTTTGTCAAAAATTAAAACTAGCATTTTGTTAAACAGTGGTGACTTCACAGCTCTTATTTTTAATACACTGAAGCTACTGGGTGCTATAAAGGACCTTGTTAGGCAGTGATTATTGATGAAGTGATGTGGAAGATACACCACCAAAATATGTAATAGTATGGTAGGAATTTGCTGTGTTCCTGCGTGACAGTCTGTGACTCTCCTGTGTGGTTTTCTGCACCCTTGTGGTAATTAATAGGTTTCCTGCTTAATGAAATGGGGAAAATACTGCCTCCTAAAAAGGATTCATACCTCTCTGACAGCTTGCCAGATTCTCGCTGTTTTAGCAGGACCTTAGAGGGGGAGCAATTTTCACCCTTTGATTTTTCTCTTTTTATGAGTGTTGTTTGTCCACTGAGTGCTGTAGGGAGTGAAAACCTCCTGTCCCACTGACCGCTCCAGATACCTCTCCAACACCGTACCTGTGACTTCTGAACTGTTTTGTCCTAGTACCCCTAAAACACTGCTGTGCTCTGTCATCTTGCGTTGCAGAAGCCGAAAACAATTTCGAGGGAATTGAGAGCAAGTTTTCCTTACGGACGCCTGCAGAGCCCGATGAGGATGTCTGCTACCTGGTGCCTGGGCAGGTGGACAGCCTGGCACAGTGCAACTTCAATCACACCAGTAAAACCTTTGTGGTGATCCACGGCTGGACGGTAAGACAAAGTGGGGGGAATCTCCCTTTTAGCCACCCTGCTGATAAACAGTGCTGAGCTGTCTGTATTTTACAGATAATGTTAATAGCTCTGTCTTTTTTTTTTTTTTTTTTTTTTAATTGAAAAACCTCGCAACCAACAACAACAGGTGACAGGGATGTATGAAAGCTGGGTCCCAAAGCTTGTGGATGCTCTGTACAAGAGGGAACCTGATTCAAACGTCATTGTGGTGGACTGGCTAGTTCGGGCTCAGCAGCACTACCCAGTGTCTGCTGCATACACTAAGCTCGTGGGAAAGGATGTTGCTACATTTATTGACTGGATGGAGGTAAGACATGTAGACACACCTCACTCACATTGTGCACGATATCCTAGGGGACAAAGCAGCATTTGCACGACTGTGTTAATCATCTTCTGTTGGGTAGATGGAGTTAAACTATTGAAGACAGTACTTCTGCTGGACTGGTAAAATTCCAGCTTTAAGTTACTTGTTATTTCTTACTCAAAAAGGCTTTCTATAGTACATTCCAGAAACTTCACCTTGTGGTCTCTGGAGCCCTGTGAGAAGAAGCTATGAAGGACAGATTCCTATATATTTTACAGCAACCAGCCCTTGGGAAGCAGAAATCTGCCCTTCCTTTTGGAAATACTTAAGAGATGCAGAAACTGGTGGAAAGGGAGTGGCTGAAAAACTTTAATATCATACACAGTCCTGTGTTCTGTCCTTCATTGTGCAGTCCTCTCTGGTTAGATTTTTGCCCTAAGTTAGTTAACTCAAGCGATCTAGTAGGGCACAAAACTATGATAAAATTATGATTACTGTGTAGTATTTCTTCTATTATTCACAGCTCAAAGAGAAATCCCAGTATTAACAAAACATTTTCTTTGGTGTCGTCTGACTTCAAACAAATTGTTCTCTTGAACAGGAGCAATTCAATTATCCTCTCAACAATGTCCACTTGCTGGGGTACAGTCTAGGTGCTCATGCTGCTGGGATTGCTGGAAGCTTAACCAAGAAGAAGGTGAACAGAATTACTGGTAAGAAAACCTGTGACTCTAGAGTGGAGAGCCCTGTCTCTTCCATACTGAAACATGTTTCTCTGAAAAATCACCAGAATAATTGTTGCTTGTTGACAGTACTTTGGTTCTGTGTTCATGCTTTAAATGAAACTGCAGGGGCAGTATTTCTGTGGTAGAACTGAAGGAGGTTTGGAAAAGAACAACCAAGGTGGGCGAGTGAGAAGCCTTGATTTGCTTCTTAGCAAGAAATGAGCGAGTAGGCCATGATAAGAGACTGGCTGGGGGGAATGTGGTTGGGTGGGACTGGTTAAATCCATGGCTTGGAGAGGTCACAGTATCTCTTGCAGCATGAGAGCTTTAGCTGGTTGTCTTCATCCAGGCAGTCATTCCTTGCAGCTGTTGGGAGCCATTCAAAAAGAAGAGGATCTAAATCCTTCTGCAGGGGATAATAGGACCTGCAGAACTCTTTGTCATGGAATGCTACAGGTGCAAGAAGTTTATAATGGGCTCAAAGGGAGCCTGGACAGATAATCAGAAAAGTTCCACTGTGGGGTATTAAAAAAATGAGTCATAACAGGCTCAAAAAATATTCTACGCTGAAAATAATACTGTGAGAGTTCTGGGAAGGAGAACAAAGCATAGACATGCCTGCCTTGTTGTTATGTGTGCTTAGATTGCTGTTTAAGGTGATTTTTGGAAACTGAGAAGTGTGCTAGATGAGGTGGAGTGCATGGCTACCCTGAGTCTGGTTTGCAGCCCAGGACCAGAAGAGCTGATTTCACTGACAAAGGAAATGCCAGCATCAGCAAGTGAGGCTAAGAAAATTGCTCATCTGTGGTGTCTTTGTTGCTGAGAGAACTTGGGAGCAGCATTCGAAAGGGAGCCTAGCTCCTGGCACCCTTTACTCTTTCACCTGAGCCTGGCTGTGATCCCAGATCCACAGACATGCTGAGAGGTGGGCTTGGCAGCAGTTGCATCTGGAAAGGTGGCATCCTGAGAAGGTGGCAGATTAAAATCAGGAGGCCAAAGGACTATCCTCTATCCTTCCTTTCTCTCAGCTGCAGGTTTGTTTTATTCACTGAGACTGTCAAATCACTGAAATGTCAGTAGCACTCTATTATGCTTCCCTTGGTGCCCAGGATGAGCCCTTTCCCTGGGAAAACAAAACCTTTGAGCAAAGGGAGCAGTGTTATGTGGTCCCTGAAGTCCTTACAGCAGTGGGGAGGCAGCTTAGAATGGGTGAAGTTAACCATGGTTGAACAACTCAGGTGCCTGTCCCCAGCTGAGGGCTACAGAAAAGACATATCCCTTCAGCTCTGCTTACAGCCATGTCTCAGGTAGTTGTCTGAATTCGAAAGATAGTACTTGTTCACTGGCAGAATAGTTCCATGTGGTTTTGATATCAGCGTTGCTGCAGTTTGACATTTTACCGAAATAATCCCCTTCCCCTGAGGCATGTAGACAGTGAAGCTCTCATTTGTTTCCTGGTTGTTCCCCTACCAGGGGGTTACTGGCAAGACATTTTTCCGTACTTCAGATGCTTCAGATACAAATTGTACAATTCTTGACAAGACGATGTTGAAAACACATTTATGAGCTTGTTTCTTCCATCCACTGGAAGTGCTACAACTCTGAGGAAGTTATCAGGGCTTCCTTACATATGTCTGCATGCACTTTCTTTTTTTTTTTTTTAAACAGTGACAGCGTTTCAAGGTTGTGTGTGTGTTTGATTCTCCTATACACATGAATGCTACTTAAGTGATCCCACTGTAATGTCTGCAGAAAAAGCAATGCCACATGCGATGTTCTGGCCCAGTGTGGTAGCTGAGTTTGGCATTTGTTATCAGTGTCAGTGTCTCTGACAGACAGCCTTTCTTTGTGGTCTGTTCCATAAAGGGCTGGATCCAGCTGGCCCTACCTTCGAGTATGCTGATGCCCCTACCCGCCTCTCCCCGGATGATGCTGATTTTGTGGATGTCTTACACACCTACACTCGAGGCTCTCCAGACCGCAGCATTGGGATCCAGAAGCCTGTTGGACACATTGATATTTATCCCAACGGTGGGGGTTTCCAGCCAGGCTGCAACTTGGGAGAAGCGCTCCGTCTGATTGCCGAGAAAGGCTTTGGAGGTGAGGTTGCTCTGAAACAAATGGTGTAAGGTTCAGAGGGGGATCTTCAATAGCTTCGTAGGTTTCTTGCAAGCCAAGGTCTCTGAGAGGCACAGGAAAGTGTTCTTTTAAGTGCTTTTTAAAGTCATCCTGTAAAGCCCAGCTCTGACATAGTGGATCATGCCTGTTGACAAGCATGGCTTAGGGATTCATACCTTTATATGAGTGCATATTACACTTTTTCATTCTTTCAAGATGTGGACCAGCTGGTGAAATGCTCCCATGAACGATCCATTCACCTCTTCATTGACTCCCTCCTCTACGAAGAAAAGCCCAGCATGGCCTATCGCTGCAACACAAAGGAGGCCTTTGAGAAGGGTCTCTGCCTGAGCTGCCGCAAGAACCGCTGCAACAATTTGGGTTACAAGGTCAACAGAGTGAGAACAAAGAGAAACACCAAAATGTACTTGAAGACCCGTGCTCAGATGCCCTATAAAGGTAGGTCCTGCCCTCCTACTGGTGAGCAAGAGTGGTACTTGTGCTGATCTGTGTGTCACGGTGGGCATGTGATGCAGATGATGATGTTGCTGCTTTGATGCCTGTGGTGAGCAGGAGTGAAGGTTGCCTCTTGCTTGCCATTGAGTGCAAGCTAAACTAAGTCTCAGAGAAGGCAGTGCCATCTTACTCAAGATATGGGAGTAGGGTATGAAAAGAAAGGTAATTTGTAACAAGTTTCTAGGTAGCAAAATTAAAAAGACTTACTCTGGGGCCCAATCGGCTTGGAACAACCGAGTCTTCTAAATTTTTCAGTATTATTCAATGAAATGAATTTTTACTATTGCCGGGGAAATAATCAGCAGAGCTTAGTCTGATAAGCAACTTATTTAAAGATATGCACCCATCCGACTTGTACCTTTTGTAGTGCCCTTGCTAGAGGAGTACTAGCCCTCACTAAAATATCACAGCACTTCTTGTTTCCAGTTGCCACAGTGATAGGTCTGAGAAGGACACTGCCAGAGAGAACAGGAAGGCTTTCAGCTGTGAAAGTAGCTTCCGAGTTGAATTTTATTTTTATTTTTTTTTCCCTCCCTAGCTTTGCCTGTACCCCATGGTACGTTTGTTGTGTGCACTGTGTGATGGACCAGCAATCAGAGGGCACATTCCTGCAGTGTTAGAACAGCCACAAGAGTGGCTGGTGTTCTATTGGCATTAATTGGCTTAATATGCAGTGTCAGTGGGTTGATTTTTTTTTTTTTTTTTTTAACCAAGGTATGAGGAGGGCACAACTCACTTCAAGTCAAGGATAGCAATTCTTAAACATTCAATAACATGTTTAAAGGTGATACTGCAGACTCTGGGGTTGCTGGAGTGGCAGGCTGAATTCAGAGTTTAGTTGCAAGAACTGCAAAGGTTGTTTTTTTTTTGTTTTGTTTTGTTTTTTTAATAGTGATTGTCTTACATACTAATATTTACCTCCTTTCAAAAATAATTCCTTGGATACCTACAGGGAACTAAGCTCCTCATTTTAGTGAAGTTGGCATGTTCCAACCTAGGATTTTCAGGTGGGGGGTTGGGTGGTTTTGTTACCAGCAGTCTTTTTGGAGGTTGAGTTTTCCTAATGGCATTTTCTTTTGCATTCTTCCAGTCTTTCACTACCAAGTCAAGATCCATTTCTTTGGAAAGACTAATATGACTAAGACAAATCAGCCATTCCTGATCTCTCTCTACGGCACTCTAGACGAGAGTGAGAAAATTTCTTTCACACTGTGAGTAGCTACAGAAACAATTACAGTGCAGAGCTCAGTTTACATAAACTTGTTAAAGCCCCAGATTAAAGTATTTTCTAGCTCCAGCTATAGAAATCTTACAGGGTCCTAGATTCTGCTCTTGTCCTTGGCTGAGGGTATGCATCCACTTCTGAAGCCAATGAACTGAGCTCTACAGGAGCTCTTCTTGATAAGACATCTGAAATATGGAAATGTGAAGTCTGACCTGTGAGTCAGCATGATAAGAGCTTTTCCTGTGCTTTATTTTTATTTCCACTATCTTTATGCCATGTTCCAACCGTGTTAAGCCTTCTTAAAAGGTTTCTTAAAACCTGGAGTTAACTGTCTGATGGGTCTGAAGGCCTCAGTGCAAAAGCTGAGGGGGACATGGGATTTTGCTCTCCCAGCTCTGCAAACAAGCAGAAATTCGTGCATACATCCTTGCACGTGGGCTGGCAGGGAATGGAGCTGGAAACCACCAAAGTCTGTTTTCTGCTCTGAGGAATCCAGTAATTGGTAGTGCTTGTCTGGCTTCTCTGAGAGCCACCAATACAGGAGAAGACGCCCATTGCCCAGCAGACTGTCCCAGGATTTCACCAGCCTTGCTGCAGAAAGCTTTTCCTTTTGCCTCTACAAAAGCTAAAGTGTTTTGTCCTTATTCTCCACCCATCAGAGCTATAAAGAAGGTTGCTTCCTTCTTCTCTAGAGTATAAGAAGTTGTGGTTCTTTCTCTCCTTAATTTCCTTTATCTGTCCAACAGTTTCAGATGAGTTTTTTTGCTTTTCTTTTGCTTATTCTCCTACTCACAGGCCTGAAGTCTCCTCAAACAAGACCTTCTCCTTCCTGATTTACACAGAAGTGGACATTGGGGACCTGCTTATGCTGAAGCTGCAGTGGGAGAAAGACACTTTCTTCAGCTGGACTGACTGGTGGACTCCTTTTACCTTTGACATCCAGAGAGTCAGAGTGAAGTCAGGAGAAACTCAGAAAAAGTAACTTGTTTTGATTGTTAAAAGCTTTGACAGTGATTCCTGATTTCTGGTATCTCACAGGGTGGGACAAACATTTGAGTCAATTAAGAGATGGGTGCAGCACTGATAGTCAGGGCTCCACTGGCATCAAACCACCACTTAGGTCAGCCAGGCTCAGTTGTTTGCTTCCGCTGGGATCTGCAATTTGTAGTCTTACTCACACGTAATTAATTTGCATATCACTGTCTCACCTGTCTCAGGTTAGCTGTAATAATGCAGGAGGGTATCTCCATGAACCAGCATCAGTGGTTGTTTGCAGTTTCCTCCTCCATTTTCACGCTGGGTATTTGCATGGGTTTTCTTGCAAAAAGGATTCTTAGAAAGGAGACTTTTAGAAGCCCGTCCAAAAGTGTGTTTGCACAAGAAATTTATTGCTTGGTTAAGCTGGATTTTCTTAGGAGTTGAATACTGGATGTGGAAGAAAACTGAAAAAAACATGACTGCTGTAGGACGTTGCTAATGCATGAATGCTGAAACATCAAAATTTGAACAGAGCTGCTTTGACATGAATCTTTTGAAATACCCACTCACTAGACATGAGATCTGTTTGTAGAACATGGGCCCAGAACAGAGTATGTGTGTCCCATGTGCAGTATAGTAAATAATAAGTTCTCTCTTTGAATAAACAAGGCAGTCACTTGATCAAAGAACGGTTATCAGAGCTGAACAAATAGAGGGGTGGAGAAAGTACTGATAAATAGAAAAGCAACTGCTCAGGTTTGCTGGAATTGACAACCTACTTCGTTTGCAAACATTTGAGCGAGTAAGGCTTTCTTCCAAGTTCATTCACCTGACAAAAAACTCGCGTAAGGACTGGTCGAAATAAGATTCGAGAGACTTTGGGATAGATCTTCTGCTGTTTTTTTTTAGCTACAAGAATATTTTATGCAAGATATCATAGTGAAAGTTATGGCTACATTTTCATGTCTATGCATAAACTGTTCACCTATTTTTATTGCGCAGTGTTTCTTCTGTCACAGAATTCTCACACACTTACAAAGTAGTAGTGCCTCACATGGCAAAGTATAAAGACTACTTCCAAGCAGCAGTCCTGTTTCTAAGGTTAAAAAGGCATGTCTGGCTCAAACATGTGATTTTTTTTTGTTTGTTTTGTTTCCCCTCCCAATATTTATTCCAGAGTGGTGTTCTGTTCTCGAGATGGCACCTCACGTCTCAGTAAGGGAGAAGAGGCAGCAATATTTGTGAAGTGCTCAGAACAACCTGCCAACAGGAAGAGAGGAGGGTATGAATGATCTACTCTTATTTTTGGGTTGTTGGGAACATGTGTGGTAAAAAGACTTCCCCACTAGTTAACTTTTGCACTAGTCCTCAAGGCTTCAGAATCATCATGACTCAGACTAACCTGAGGTTTGATTATGGCAGCTTTAGCCGCTAAAAAAACTATTAATTCGTTTCTCTGCCAACCATCTCCTTGTGTGGTTGTTGGCCTGTCTGAAAAGAAAGTACACTGCTTCTCAGATTCACACAGTGGCCACATATGAGTGACTATTAGAGAGGGTTTACAGGCAAGGCACTAGCACAAAGAGATCTACAGATGCCCTACACTTACTCTTAATGTTGAACATTGAAACGCCCCTACTGAGTTCAGTTCAGAGCTCTTCCTCCTCACTGGCCAGCAATAGATTTGGAGGCTGGTAGAGTAATGGAGCAGGCAAATTCAGGTACTCTTCTTGGCACACTGCGTTCTGCTGGCAACCATCATGTGAGTGACCTCCTGAGATATGCATCTCTGATTTGGATCAGAGACTGTGTTTAATAGCCCTCGGTGCACTTTAATATTTTTATCAACGATTTTTCTGACCCAGAGTAAACTTTCAAATGTGGGGCCAGTTTTCTTTGGACTTTATCCACTAAAGTTTGAGATAGAGTAGTGGTTGTATTTATTTTAGTTCAATTGCTGTGTGTGAAAGGTCTCATGGGGACACTTCTAGACTAAGATCCAACTCTGCATAAAAATGCACATGTGCTGGCCTTCACTCCAGGGCAACAACCTCAGGAGGCCTTGACAGCTTTGTGTATCTGATGTGCAAAATCAAGCAGAGGCCATGAGAAGCCCAAACACATAATTTATTTTCCTGATGAGTAGCATTTTTTTTTTTAACCTTTATTCTCAAAAATAAGAAGGAACAAAGTTCTTACATCTTCATCACACCTTTATATTTTTTTCCTCACAGTGCCAAGAAAGCCTCTAAAGAAAATTCCGCTCAAGAATCTGCCTAAGTGACAAGAATAAAGATTTTTCCACACTGGGGAGGAGGAGAGTCTGTTCATCCTTGTGGACTGGATGTTCAGTACCAAATATATAGAAATATTTATCCGCTGCTGGCTTTTTGCCTGCTATTCCTAGCTATCTTAAGAGACTTCTTGTAAGAAAGTCTCAGCATATGAAGTTACTAACCCTAAAGATGCATTATCCAAATAGTTAAAAACAAGAAGAAACCTGAAAAACAACTTGCCAAAGTCTTGAGTGCTGAAAAGGAATAAGTGATTTTGCTTAATCATGGTGCCTTGTGACAGGGTTTCTTGACATCAGATTCTCTACAGCAATTTTCTAGTATTTATTGAAAAAAAAAACAAAGCCCTGTACCTGTGGTGGTTGGTTTAATTTTTTTTTTTTGTTTGTTTGGTGTTTTTTTAGTGTTTTGGTCTGGGGTTTGTTTTCTTTTTTTTTTTTTGTTCTTTTCAGGAGTCTTTTGAAACTGGACAGAATTTTTTCTACTTTGGCTAACTGAATTTTTAGGTAGTTCAGTGGTGAGAATTCATTGTTTTCAAATGTGTTTTTAGCAAATAAGTAGGTTTCTCATGTGAAAAAAACCCAAACCAACTCCTTTGCTCTGTGTGTTACTAGAAGGTGTGAGGGCCTGACTTAATATGGGGATGAATTTTTTAGTTTGTGGTTGTGAATGTATTTTTACTGGGGGTAGATGCCAGTGCAGCTTAGCAATAGGTATGATGTGTTAAGCTTTTTACTTCTATGCAGCTTACCCTGGAATAAATAACAGTGGTAGGAAAAGGCAGCAATACACCAAGTGTCCTATGCAGACATCAAGCATTTTATCTGTGCTTTCTTTCTTTTTTTTTTTTTTTTTTTTTTGGAAATTAAACCATTTTAACCTCCAACACTGTGAATAAGGCACTGCAGAGGAATTGAGCTACCAGAAAAAAACGCAGGAAGCAGATCTATTTCCCCCCCCCCACTTGCTCGCATTCCGTGTGCCAGAACTGGGACAGTTTCCCTGCTCTTTGGCACCCGGCGTCACTCATGCAGCTGAGTGGCTGCTGTGTGCAGCTTTCAGTGCAGGTGAATCTCCACTCGACACGTGACAAACGTGCCCACACCTCCCTGTGCTGGAACTGGGACTGCCCGTGGCCCACCCCGGTTTGCTTCTTGGCTCTGATGTAGCGGAAGGAGCAGCTTGGTTTTTCTGACAGGAGGTGGAATTCGGCAAGGAGCAGGAGCGCTGTGGCAGTGAAGAGGGGCTGATTGTGTCCTGCGCAAAAATGGGTGCTCTGAAAAACACAGGAATTAGACACGCTGCAAGTTGACAAAAATAGGTATTTTGAAGGCATTCTGCTTCCTTGTTTTTAAGTAACGTGTAATTTTTCTAGTGCGCTGAACGGTGCATTAGTGCTCTTTTAGCTTTCTAGAAGATAAAATCTTGGGGAAGTAGAAGGGCTTGAAGGTAGACACTTGAAGAAATGTAATGTGAGCTGTTGATGCTGGGTATTGTGGTCCTTTCCTGCACGTGGAAGACATCGTGGAGACAGTGATTTCTCCAACATCATCCCATCCTGAAAGCAAAACAAAGATGTATGTGTTTATGTGCAGAGTTTGTTACTTTTTTCCAGCTGTAGCTGCTAGTATATTTGGGGATAAAAGTCTTTAAGAGTGCAATATGTTGCAATATTAATAGCCCTGAAATTGCTCACATTTGATTTCCTAACCCTTAAACTACAACAGAGATGTGATGAGTCACTGAGGGTGGGGTTGAGTATTGAGCCACTGCATCTGAGACCTCTAAAAATAAATATAATGATTTATTCCCTATAGATTCCACATTTTGTTGCAATTGTCTCAAGAGTTAAATTCTTTGAGAAAAAGTATCTGAACAGCTGTGCTCTTAATACAGGATTAAATACAAACACATTTAGAACTTGGATAAAAAACAGTGAAGGTTCTTTCATGAGGAAACATGATTTAGCCTTGGATGTTATTTATTAGCTGTAAATAAGATATTTATGAGTGTAAAGGTAGTTTGTATATATTGCTAAAGTTGCTGACAGTCTCTACATTAATACAGTTGTGTAGTATTAATCCTGTATATAGCTTTCAGAGATTTTTATCAACCAGCCACTTACACTGCATTATTTCCTATGTGGTTAATACGTTTTTTATTTTAAGAAAGCTCCTCAGTTTTGTATAGAATGGAAACCTATGGTTTTAATAAAATTCTCAAACTGATGCTGAAGTCACTACTTTTGTTTTGGTTGAACAATCT